CGTAGGTGTTTCTAATTCCAGAAGAGAAGCTGTTAGTCAAACGTTTACATTGTGTTTCATTTCCTTTACAGTAGTTTCTTGAATCCCTGCCTTGCCCTCAAAATGTGGAAGWACCTTTTACCTATTTCTTGGAATAGCGAGATAATAAAACTTASCCAGAGTTGATTGTTTTGGGGGAAGAGCTTTTGCTGTAATTTTTTCAATGCAGAGCAGTACCCTTGCTGGAAGGTGATGGGTCTGAATGCTGACAGTGCAGCCACTTTTCCTCCACTGTACCTGACTTTTGGGCTGAAGTGTCTCCTTACAGACTGCCTGTACTGAAAGTAAAAGATCCGAGTTCTTAAGCCATGCTTTTAATCTTTGAAAAAAGAAGGAGAGAGCAGATACGGGCAGCCATGGTAGGGCAGGAGCAGGGCTTACATCAGCTGGGAATCCCAAAAGCCTGCACCATTCATTCCATATTTTAAGTGTTTTGCTTACTGGGTTTCAAATTTCTAAGAAGTRAAATAGAAATGTGATTACTTTAAATCAGTGGCCTTCAAAATCCATTATGGGTGCCTAAAGGTTTTCCAGGAAAGGTCTGGACTGTTACAGAGCGTATTGAAAGGCAATTATTAGTTGTTTCATGGACTCTCAAAGGAAGTAGCTCTCAATCACTGAAGGTCAGGATTAAAGGATRCTTCCAGTTGAACTAATTTGTCTTTCTTTGAAGAAAGTCTCTTTGCAAAAATGAGCTCTTTCAGAAGAGGACGAGCTTGGTAGACACTTGTGGTGAGCAGTGCAGTATGAAAGGTTCTAGAAAAATAAAATAAGCGAGGACTGAGAGAGATTGCAGTTGGATCCCAGCCTGGTCATGATGGGAGGGTAGCACAGGGCAGGAGAGCTCCTCTGGGACATTTATTGCCTCACTGTCCCCAGGMTGCACAGGGCAGCAGCTTCCAGATGTGTCTTCTGGTGGCACCTGGCACACAGTGGGTTACACGATACCAAATATCTTTGTTTCCTGGCCTGAGCCTAGAAAACAGATTAAATGCTCTTCTAAAACWTGTATTTCAGGAAAACATTTTCTGTAATTACTACAGAAAAARCTGTCATAGGAAAGGGAAGGGAGTTGGTCTGCACAAGCATGACCTAGCTGGGAAAGGAGTCAGCTGGGCACAACTTGATTAACTGAAGTTTTGGGAGAGTCCTTGTGTTACAGTTCAGTGGATTTGTGAGTCCCCACTACCACATAACAAACCTTAATTGATGTTTCAGGATGTGAGCCAATTTCATTTTTTTGGGGGGTGTGAGGGGATGGAGGGGATTKTGAGTTCTTATTCTGTATTCCAGTGCTTGTGCACCTGTGTGTAATGGAGAGGGGAGAACAAGGATGTGAAGACTCTTTGGCATCTCTGATGAAATGGGATTTTCTGTTTGTCCAGGTGTAGAAAATCAGTCTTTGTTGATGTTGGTGTGTGGATGAGGCAAAGTAAAACAGAATSATGTGCCTTCAGGTTTCAGTTCTCCAGTATTGTGAGCTTTGCTCTATGCACAGTAGCTTTAGTCTAAATTTACGATTCTTTTTTTTCCTCCTAGAGTAGTCTGACATCTGCTGTTATCTCTTGTGACCACCTGTCAATAAACTTTCATTTCAATATATTGGTTAGAGRGCTGTAGTGCCTTATTACTTTAATTCCTATTCACTTGTGTCAACTAAATGCATTTTTTGCTGTTTTTAGGGGAATACACCCCAGACACTGCTGGGATGCAYATTTTATGCTATATACTTGCATGTTCCATTGCTAGAGATGAAGCAGAACAATAACCATATTTGTATAGTCAGGTTWTAGGATTGAGGTTGTTCTCTACACAATATGTGATGTGTCCTAGGGCTGATTCATACACAAAACCAAACAGTTACAGCACACACAGAGTAAGACTTTTTTTAACTAAACACTGAGTTTGCTGTTTCTATRAATGTCATTCCACCCTTGTCCTCAATTGCATCAACTTGCATCATCTGTGTCTCTTGTATAGGAACAATTACCAGGCTTCTCAATGGTTACAGGGCTTTTTCTTTATGAAAACTCTTAGATGCTGCTAAACGGTATAGAAATCTAGTGGACCTAAAAAAAGATATTATCCACATGAACTTTTTAGGAAAATACATTTCTTGATATCTTGTGCTTTAAGTCCAGATCAAATAACTTTGTTACATCACTGACATAATTTTAAAGTTCTGGCCCTGTCTTTATAGTGCTGTAGCATTTCCTAGTTCAATACTTTTTATTATCCTTTAAAGTGATGACGTCTTTATTTTGAAACAATGTGGTGTTTTTGTAACTGCAGCCAATATARATATATAAATATATCAATATGCCTCTTCAGCTAGTTGGGTCTTCTCTTCCATCCTTAAGGCAAGAAACTGGTTGCTTCTGAAATAATAGGTCTGATTCAGCAACAGAGGCAGATTTGTAAATTGAACTTGGAAGTAAGCTTGATCTGTTTACATAMAGCAATATAGTGTATATAATCTGAATCTTGAGTGATGTTTACTTCAGAATATGTACCTGGATTAATTCACTTGATTATGGTTATTTACTATTCACTGCATCTGGCATTTGGACATCTTCAGCTGTCTATGTTGTGCTGTATTGACCTGTGCTGTATGGCTGTGAAGGCACTGAGCACTTAAATATGCAACGTAATCTTTGGTATCGGACACTTGTTAATACAAAAATGGAGTGGGTTTTTTTTGCCTAAATCTAAATGCTCAGCAGAAGCCCTCAGGCCATAGGATTTATCCATTAATTTGTGTCAAGTCCAGAAAATTTTGATAAAATAGGGATTATCCTCTTTTTAAGAGAGCTGAACAATAGAAAGTCTACTGCTTCATATGGTAAGCTGCTAATGATAATTGAAGGAATGTCTGTTACTGTTACTTGCCACTTAAAATTCTCTAGGGTAAACTTTCAGGTACCACGTTTTACTGTGCACATGCTGATCTTGACCATACTCTGCTGTTTTTCTTAAAAATCATACATGYTTTTAYATATTATAACCAAAAATAATTCCTCTTGCACATTTTCTTAGGGATKAATTAGCTTTGTTTAGTCTGCTAAGTATGAGACAATTCTTGTTTAAATTAATTTTACCCCTGTTGAACACTTTCTAGATTTTTGAACTTCTGTGTCAGAGTAGGCAAAATACTCCAGTAGTGATCCTTCCTGCTGTGGCTTTCTTGCAATCACCGTGGCCTTTGGACATACAAAGATGAGTTAGCAGAAAAATAATGCTACAATTTATTTTTTTTTGTCTGTTGTATATCCAAATCCTTTTCAGAGTCTTCCCAAATTCCATTTTCCTATTCCCAAGTATGACTTGCTCATTGTTCACCAGACTTCCAGCTGAAAAAAAMCTGCAGGTGCCTAATTTTGTAGGTGACTCATATCACTACCTAAGACTCTTGTCTTCTCTGTTATTTACCATTCCTTTAATCTYTCATGCACCCTTTATTAGATATTTTTTGCCATCCTTCAGGTGAGTGACCATTTTAACTCGTGCCAGATGAATTCATGTGTTGCTCACTTGCCATATGGGGTCCTCCAGGGTAATTCATCTGTTCTCTGGCTCTTTTTCAGCAGCRGGCTGACTCTCTTATTTACCTTGTGTAGATCCCTTCAAATAGGCTGTAAGCCCTGGGGTCCATGGTGTACAAGCCTGGGCTGGGCAAATATGTACATGCAAAAGCTCGTTTTACACACTTTATGATTTGCATATGCAGATAATTGCACGTTTAATTGGAGCTTTTGTTTCGTGCATCTCCCAAGTCTGCCTTGCAAAGTTTGCCAAATGCTCTGCTATAGGGAACCAAGACAAAAAAAGATTTCTGAAAGGTATTCTATGCATGATAATTGAAACATGAATAGAAATTAACTCTGTCTCTGYGGCAGTTTTGTTTTGGTGGATGACAAGGGACATTTAAGCTAAAATTCTGAAGATGTCGTGTGCTTTTGTTCCTCTAAAGGATGAAAATAAAGGTAAAGAACTGCTGGTAGCCCTGCCTCCACCTGCTTTTCTTTGCTGCTCTTAAAATAGACTTTGAAGCGAATGTATTTTAGCTTTCATGGAAAAGAGAGTTTTCTGTAACCTCTYCAGTAATTAAATAATTTTGAAACTTGAAGTGTTTTGAAGCAGAGAGAGGAACGACATGATCTGGTTGTGCTTAAATCTGTTTGAATGATGGGTGACATCCTCGTGATGAGGGAGGAGGAGGAGAAGGGTGCTCTGTAAAACACCATAAAATGGTGCATCTTAACTCTGCAAAACTGACTGTGCCAGGGCTCTTCATGGAGAGCAATGCCAGCTGCTGCTTTGTCTGCACAGACTTGTTGAGTTTTCATTCTTTGCACAAGTTTAGACTGACCGGGGTACAAAACAATGAATACTCTGTATGTTTCTTAGGAACATTTCCTATGTGTTAATGGTAACTAAAAATGGACCTCTGAAGTAAGCCTTTCTCTCAGCAGGAGGGACTTGCAATAAAAATCTTGAAGAACATTGTGTCCCACTTTTTCTCTCACAGAAGTAAATATTTCTTTTTTTCCTTCTTCTTCAATTTTAAATCTATTTTATTATATATTGTGGCTTCCTATTCCATCTGTCAGATGATAATAACAATGCCAAGTCATACCGTCATCAGACTTTTCCTACAAGAGCCCAGGAAATCTTTTGTCTTCTGGAAAAGCTGTAGAAAACCAAAGTTCTTTGTCTGTTTGTAATGAAAAGGCTGTGAGATGAGGAAAATTGTTTTGTGGTGCTAGAGTGGGGAGTGGTGGGCTTTATGGGGAGTGCAGCCAGTCTGGCACAAAGATCCATTTCCCGTCACCCACTCTCATTTCAAGTGCAAATTGAAACAAACTACAGGGTCAGCCAACAGTTGTTATACAGCAAATAATTAATTTTTAATTTTTGTCTAATTAATTTTGTCATTAATTTATGTCTTTTTGAAATGACAGATACTTTGGATGAATACTTTGAGTATGAAGCTGAGGAGTTCCTGGTCTCCTTGGCCTTGCTGATCACCGAGGGCCGGACACCCGAGTACTCCATCAAGGGCAGGACAGAGGGCTTTCACTGCCCACCAGCACAGTCCAGTCAGCCACCAACAGCTAAGCATGAATGCAGCGACAAACTGGCTCAGGTATGCTGGTGGCACCCATTTCATGTCACAAATCCTCCCTACCATGGCTAAAGTCAGCCAAGAACCCTGCAGTGGATTCACAGTTAAGCATGAGTAACAATGSCTTTCTGTCAGTCCTTCATTTAAATGAGTATGTAATTCAGTATCCTGCTAATAATAGATCTGTCCTTAAAATGAGAGATCATTAAGCCTTTTATCCTKGAACATGAAGTTCTGCATGACTACCTGCATGCAGTACCTATTTGAATCTTTACTATGCAAATGACAAGCACTATACTTAGCATTCTTGGTCTGGGGTTTCTTTTGAGAAAATGTAGGCTGACTTGCCTAACTTTTTGCTTTTCCAGGTGTTCTTGAAAAGTTAGTGATCCAAAAAACACAAGCAYGTCAAATTTAGGCAGTTTGTTTGGRACTAAAGTTGGAACATCCCATCTCTCAMGTGAAAGTTCTTAARTTCTGTGGGAATTTAAGTTATATTCATGCAGAAGTTAGYCTGCTCCAAGACACAGAATTTATAAAGATAGTGCTTGAGTCTGTCTATCCAAGAGGGTGCTTTGAGGAGAGATAACTGCAAGGTGTCAAAATGCTGTGGTTGGGGAAATGTATTTTTGTAACTTCTGCAATTTTCTAAGGGAAGTTGCTCAAATGGCACCTGTAAAGGATTTCTTAATTGTTTTTTTTCATTTAATAACTCTGGAATCTTATTTCTGATTTGGTGAAACCTGACTCACAGAATTTGACCCTTACCCTTCTCTAGTGCTTTGGAATGTGCTTTTAAGTTCGATTTAAATCTGGCTAGTGTTTTCATGGCTTGTTTATGTTGACATTTTTCTTTCCCTCAGTGTCGTCAGGCCAGACGAACCAGATCTGAGGTTATGCTACTGTGGAAGAACAATATTCCAATCATGGTAGAAGTGATGCTACTTCCAGACTGTTGCTATAGTGATGAAGGGCCCACCACTGAGGGCARTGATTTAAATGATCCTGCAATCAAACAAGATGCATTGCTCTTAGAAAGGTGGATTTTGGAGCCTGTTCCTCGACAGTAAGTTGCATATGAGGATTAGCTGATACCTGCAAGAATCTTATCATATGAAAGTCCTTAAAGTGATCAGTTAGTGTTTTCGAACTGGCTCTTTGCTATGAAGACTGATCTAAGAAAACTACTGTTTGCTAATGAAATTGAAGCATCTCAGTTTTATTCTTCTTATACTCAAAATTTCTGTAGTGCACATTGTGCAGTGCCAAATGTGAAATGATCCATGGTCCTTTTAATACGTTTAATATTTGTTATGTCAAATTTACAGTGTATAAAAACAAATCAGGTTCTGAACAAAGATCTGGCAATGTTCAGTTCTAACAGGTCTCTGAATATTTTTRCCAACACCCATGTGTTTTTCTTTAAATGTCTTAGGAGTGGAGATCGATTTATTGAAGAGAAGACCCTTTTATTGGCTGTTCGCTCCTTTGTTTTCTTCTCTCAGCTGAGYGCGTGGCTGAGTGTTTCACATGGTGCTGTTCCCCGAAACATCCTGTACAGGTACTCCTGAAATGGAAAAAAACTCGTTTGCAGATTGCTGCAGCTTGTCTTAAAATCATCCTTCTCTCCTGTTTCCCKCTTGCTTTTAGAAGGTGCCACATTGTTGGCGCGGTACTTTGGCAGTTCTGTAGGATTTGTATTACTCTGCAAAGTACGGCAGTTGCTGATGTTTCCGGTGCTTTTTCTTAGACATTTGTGTTATGAATAGATGATTAAAAACTCTTCATTTGGCCATTTTTGTAAATGTCCTTYGGTATTGTTTCAGGGTGAGCGCTGCAGATGTGGACTTGCAATGGACCTTCTCCCAGACACCCACTGAGCATGTCTTTCCTGTTCCTAACGTCTCTCACAACGTGGCCTTGAGAGTCAGTGTCCAGTCCTTGCCCAGGCAATCCAACTACCCAGTTTTGACCTGCAGTATTCACACMAACCTTAGCTTTTATGAGAAGCGAATGCAAGAGCGTAAGTTCCATCAGCACGGCGATCCCAGCACTGCCCAGCAATGCAGTGCTTCCAGTCCACAGTGTTTTCGTGGGAAACAGACATGGACCGTGACACCTGARGGCCTACTTAATGGAAAAAAGATGCCTGAATTTACTACATCTTTCAGAAATTTGAAACTTTATCCATCTACCAGRCTTGGATCTGACTTTGGGGCATCGCAGTCCAAAGTTCAGTGCTATAACACTACAGCAGACAGTAAGACACAATCTCGTGAAACACCGGTCAGAACTTTTAAATCCTATTCTCTAGCTGACTCCCACGTTTCCAATGGTCATGGCTCTCATCAGCCCACGGGAGGAACCAATCCTTTGATAGGCTCTTTACTTCAAGAACGGCAAGAAGTCATTGCAAGGATTGCTCAGCACTTGATTCACTGTGATCCAGCCACTTCACCAGTTGTTGCTGAGCGTYCGTTCAGCACGCATGAAAACATCTCGGCTACGCCAAAAGCTTTTCGGAGTACGTTCGAAGATGAAAACTTGCCAAGGAAAAGCAAGGAAAGCTCCCCTGTTTCTGTTGCCAACTTGGACAATGCAGCACAGGAAGATGGTGGTGAAGGCAAAGCCAGAGCAGTGCCAGAGGTCACTCTGCTGGATGCCCGTGTTCCAGGGAACCACTGCGGCCGTCAGTCAGCGGGAGAGAGCAACCCCCTGATCGATTCCCTGCTCCAGGAGCGGCAGGAGGTGATAGCAAGGATTGCCCAACACTTGATTCATTGTGATCCAGCTACTTCCCATGTCGCTGGGCGTCCGTTCAAAGTGCATGAGGCCAGTCCAGTCACTTCCAAAATTTTCCGAAGTACGTATGAAGATGAAAATTTGCTGAAGAAAGGCAAGGARCCATCTTCTGTTTCTTTTGCTAAATCCAACTTTCCTTTGTTAGAAGACAGTAATAAATTAGGGACAAAGCCATCTGATACTCCTATCAGTCCTTCAAGGTTTGATGGAGAATCRAAGACTTCTCTGAAACTCCAAGCAAGAAGAAAATTGGTTTTAGCAAAACCCAGTGAAGCTGTCCAAAATGCATTTCATCAGACTTCAAATAAATCTTCTCATGCATTTAGTAGCATTCACATATCATCATCATGTATTAAAGAAAATAAATCTGAAGTTCCAGATAAATCAGAAATACATTCTGGTTRTGCACAGAAAGACCAGGTAACCAATAGAATTAAACAGGGTTCAAATTCCAGCAWCATTGATGAACAGATTTGCACAAATAAACTTAAAGAAAGAACAGTTGTTAGTGAGAACAATGGCACAGACARTTTTAATAATTTACAAATAGAAAAATGCAGAATACTTGAAGGTACAAAAAAAGCAACTGTGATGCCTGTATCTGACTCTTTGCACAAAAATGAGCTCAAGTGTTTAGATAAAGACTCCAAAAAAMCAAATATTTATGAGCAAAATACTCAGCTTGTTAGTATTGAAAATTATTTAAATAAAGACCATGACAGTTTCAAAAACAAAACCAAACAAGATAAAACAAAAACTGCACATGATGAGAATGAAGACCCAACAGGCCTCGATTTGCAAAGCACTTCTCAGAAGAAACCTGCAGGTGACAATGTGGTTAAGTGTGAGCGGCAGAAGAACCCAGATGTACAGGTAAATWCATATGGGAACAGACTGTAATTCCTATAGCTGCCCTTTGTCACACAGCTTGTACCCTGTATCGCTAAGGGCCCATAAGAAGAGGAATTTARGCTTGATCTCATAGGTAGCAGCTTGTTACCACTGTAATCTTGGCCTGAAGTAACTCAGGAAGGATTTCTTCATGGRAAGGGTTAAGCATGGGATTGGACTGCCCAGGTGGTGGAGTCCCCATCCCTGGAGCTGTTCAAGGAACACCTCAGTGCCATGGTCTGGCTGACAGGGTGACCTGTGAAATGCTTCTGTGTGACTAACTTGGCTGGGGGTGCCTCCCCTAAACTTMCTAAGTTTAACGTGGAGAAGAGCACTGTCCTATTGCACTCACTGTGACAGAGTTATGAAGCACTGTTTCCACAGGCAGGGAGACACCCTGGTCTGTGTAAATGCACCGTGTCTGAATGTAGAATGTGATCTTTGGGGAGCAGTCTGTGCTGTTGTAGGGAATTCCAGTATAAATTGAAGGGAATTTATACTGGCTGTTTCATCACATGCTAATGTGATGKAGCTCCACCTGGGTCAGGACAGGTCACGGAAATATCCCTTTGATAACCTGAGYAAATTTGTTTTGCTGGCAGAAAGCACCATCTCTAAAACACACAAATACGTGGCGGAAACACAATTTTCGATCCCTGGATGGAACTTCAACCAAGGCTTTTCATCCCAGAACTGGACTGCCTCTGCTTTCAAGTCCTGTAAGTTATTGTTGAAATTCTTTTAACTGAGAAGGGGAGTATTTGTTCTTCCAATGCTTGTGCGTGGTTTCACTTTTGACAAAGTGCCTAGGTGAAGTGTGCGTGTTTACTTGGTGTCACAGTGAGTAATCTTATGAGTGGAAATTAATATTTAAATGAGAGTTAACATGTAAATAAAGCTGGACAATAATTTTGGAAAAGAGAATGTTAAAGACATAGTTGTTGAGATCYTATCAAGATTAACAAAAGGTGGCATTGGAAAAACTGATGGAAACAATGCTTTGGAGCTATTTTAGAGCACAAAAAGAAGCATTTTGGAGATCAGTGTTTTAAGTGTAAGTTAACATTTTGTCATTTTAGAGGTTTTGTGTTGCTTTTTAATACCTGATTGCCTATTATTCCAAAGCTTTTGTTTCTGTGAATAGTTTRTAGTGTACATTCTTCAGTAACTAGAGATGCCATGGAGTGACTTAGTGAAACAAAGCTGCTGTGATARGGCAGACATTGGGAAGTGTTACAGTTCTGGGCAGGTTGTTTGGAGTTTTAAAAAGCCAGGCAGTCCCTATTAAAACTACTGAAGTAGTGAWGTCCTCTGATCAACACATGATATGCTTTATTCTTCAGTGCCTGTAAAGGYTGTCATATTTTCAAGGAAATTGGCTGGAAATTGTTGCAGCCCTTTTATTAGTGATACTCTGTACAGTTCCAAAGAGGCATCAGCTTCTTCCTGAATGTCTTTATTGAAATTCTTCCTCTTAATCAGAATTTACAGTCTCATCATTAGTAATCCTAGAACTTTCTTTACTAAGCTTAAAATACATAGGAATTACTCTCTCTGCTCTGTTTTTATAATTTTGTAATGTCATGACAATTCTTGGCAAAATGTGCTTACTTGGCTAAATTGTCTGTGGTAGCAGTTCAGTTTTCAAATTAGCATCTTCTTTCCTTGTTGAGGTTCCTCAAAGGAAAACACAGTCTGGGTGCTTTGATCTGGATTCATCATTGCTGCAGCTGAAATGTCTGTCTGCAAGAAGGTATGTTCTATTTACCAGAAACATTGAGAATTTTGAAGGAGGTATAATGTATATATATATTTACATGTAAAAACAAAGCATGTTAGCAAAGACAAAAAATGCTTTCAAAAGAATTCTTCTTTTGATACAAGGCTCAGCAGCCAARTTGCCCTGGGAGGTTCCAAGCTAAGGCAGCTCTGGGACAAAACCACAGAATGTGAGCTGCTGGCAGAATAAATTCTGTCCCAAGCAGGGGTAGATATGCTGTCAGATACACTTGAGTTTTCAGACAGAAAAGCTAGTAATTGTTGATTCTTCTTCAAACCAATGTTATTTTCATCTTATATTTTGTTCTTAGCATTGAAAATGTTAAACATTTTGTCTTTGGTTGTTCAGCGAACCAAACTTTTAAACAGGGCAAATCAGGACCTTTTATACATTAATACATGTAACATAAACAGCTTTTGGTATGGTAGGCTGATGTTGGAATCTTCAGAATACGAGACAAAAATATACACACACAAGAGAAAATAATTTGATACTTTGATCCCTGCTAATGGAGTTGATGGACAAAATTTTTATTTTTATCCCTGATAATGTAAAACTGGTGAAAATATTTTTCAGTTAACTAGAAAATGTATTGCTGAGGTATTAATAGGCAATGTTCAGCTGTTATTTCTTTAGGACAACATTTTGTAGTACAGTAAGTAAATTACTCTTTCTAGAGCTGTTTATACCCAGAAGACAAAAGCAAATGTGTTTACCCTTTATATTTATTCTGTCTTTTTTTAATAGCCCACAACAATGTATAAACAGGGATGGTGATCCAGACAGCCATGGGAAACCTTTTCTAAGTTCTAGTGCTCCACCAGTAACAAGTCTTAGCCTTCTGGGAAACTTTGAGGTACTCATATTCTCTAGAATTCTTGTGAATTTTTAATATTCTTCTGTACTGCATTTAAAAGTACATTACTGTGAACCATTCCAGTCTTATTAGAATGTAAAAATTCCTAACTAAATTGAATAAAATTTGTTTTAATTTCCAGCTGTAAAGGCACTTACTTCATGCCCCAGACATCTTTTGTCTCAGAGAATCAAATACAATGAGTTGCTTAAGCTTTTCTTTCCCACTATGGTCAAGTTGGAAGATGTTCTGTTGCCTTAAATGAAATTTAATAACCTGTAATTGTTCGTATTTATAATGTACTTACCTAGAAAAAAGGATTTACATTTACACTGTTAAAATCTACTTAATATGTCACAAAAGCTGAATTAAATCAGTGTAGTAAGCAGAACATGTTTGATGTGTAGGTTCCAGCTCTTCACATCATGTAAAATATCCAATAACAGCAACTTCATAGGCAGTGCATTTATGGGTTATATTGTACTGTCTTGTGAAATATGGTGTTGAATTTGCTGGGGAAGATTACAGATTCTAGGTTATTTTTTTCGGATAGAATGTGCAAAAAATCAGGCATAGGTCCTGTTGCAGTAAAGTTCTCCATGAGCTTTTGCACAATTTCAGCAGGTTGAAGACAGGATTTGGACAATGCTTTCTCTTAAACCACYATTGTCTTACTGAATGTTCATGATTTTTGCCTTAGTGATTTTTGATTTTTGGCAGGTCACCTTATGAAACACCCAAATTCTTATATAGACTCGTTTCCTTGTTTGCTGCTTAGTTCTGCTCTGTTTTATTTGAGGTGTTCCCTGCTCAAGCTGTGCTTTGTTTTTCAGGAATCTGTGCTGAATTTCCGCCTGGACCCGCTCGGGGTCGTGGAGGGTTTCACAGCAGAGGTGGGAGCCAGTGGAGTTTTTTGTCCCACGCACATGACTCTGCCAGTTGAAGTGTCATTCTACAGTGTTTCAGATGACAATGCGCCCTCTCCTTACATGGTAAGTGTGTGGTTGGATTTATTTTAAATAGATTCTGATATGTGGAGGTGAAGAGCAAGAGCTTGGTGAGTAGAGGGTTCAGAAAGTGAAGATTGGCAGGGATCTGGCTTATTTTCAACTGCCTGTAACAGTTCTCTTGTCTCTCCTTCCTTTCCCTAACTCGTGYTTTTCCTTCCACTTCTCTGCCCCACCATTCTGCTCTCCTCTTGGGAGACTGAATGGATTTSTCTCCCCCCACACTGCAGTGATCAACCCCCAACATCTCTTTTTWTCCATCTAACTTAAAATAGCAGTGAGGCAATAGCTGGGCTTAACAGGATACATTTTGTTGTCCCAACAAACAGCTGCTCTGGGCARCTAACCACATTGTAGAGTGGCTTAGGTGCAGGCCAAGGGGCCATTGCTGACAGACACCTGAGACCTGAAAGTTATTCAGCCCCTTCTTTTGACACAAATATTGTCAGAGCTGTTGTGACACACGGTGCTCTCACAGGCTGCATGGTTTGCTGATGTTTGTAGTGACAGTGTTTGTGTTCTCAGTCTCTGGGTGCTAATTCTGTTCCACCTTTCTGCAAAGACAGAACGGGTTTTGCGTGTCTAAAAGTTCTTCTCTCTAAAAAGTTTCTTGTATGCTGGCACTGAATCAGAGGCTGGGTTTGTTCTGAATGCCTGCTAAGGAACCTCATTTTTATGTAGGTGACAGWTCCAATTTTTAGAGGTTTTTGTATGTGTACATTTAATATATGCTAAAGGGTTTGTTTAAACATGTAAGTCAAGCAATGAACATCTGAGTATCCCAATATTTAGATTTTAAATCCATAGCAGTTACCATATTCCTGACCTTCTGTTTTGGAAAGTATTCAGAAAATTAAATTGCTTAGAGTTTAAGTAATTGCTTTGAGTTTAAACTTGTATACGTCTTAACCATTGCAAAAAGTATGTTTTTTGCTTCCATCTTTCTAGATTATTTCACATGGTTTTCCAGGAGGTGAAGGGATTCTTATGCACCTCAAATGGTTAAAGTAGCATTGCCTATTTTCCTAGCTGGGTTTCATTGTTTCAGGCTTTTCCACATGCTTTAAATAYGCTGTTATGGCTGAGTCTCCCAGGATTAATAGAGCATTTGTGCAGTGCCTCCATCATCAGAACCATTGTTTCTGTTTGTATAGCTAGTTTCTGTGCTTTGGGGTCTCTCTTTGGCTGTTTGGTTTGGGTTTTTCAAGGGCMGTGCAGCAGTGGTGCCCTGCAGGCGGATCAGATGGGTGGCAGTGCCCTGTGRGGCACTCTGCAGATCACAGCTGCTACAAAAGCACACGTCATCCTTACTAAAGTTTGGATTAGAATGGAAGATTAAGTGCATCTGCTGCCTTTGAAAAGCAAAAATGAGTTCTGTRAGATTTGGAGTAGTATTGGTGCAATTGTAGATGATATAGAAATGGAAAGGAGGAGACAAATGTTTCATTTTAACCTCMCAGCTGCTTTGAAAAGAAAAMTCTGTTTTGTCTTAGCTCCYTGATGTGGAGAAGATGTGGRAACTTGAATCTTGTTTYAAGTGGAGAATGTATCTCTTATTGCACAGCTTTTAATGGTCTGCCAAAGTATCTGTAAGGGCCCTACTGTTGATTTTTTTTAACTGCATATTAAATGCATTGTCTTCTTTATTTTTAGTTTCTATACATTACTGATGATTAGAAYATTTTGATTTGTTTATCTCTGTGAACTAAATATGTGTTTTGTTTTTGCAGGGTGTAATTACTTTAGAGTCCCTTGGTAAAAGGGGTTATCGGGTACCGCCTTCAGGAACAATACAAGTGGTAGGTACTCAGCAGATAAGGGTGCCTTGAAACCAATTACAGCAAGAAAGTCATGCAGAGATGAGATTATGGGAGATGAGCATGAAGCTAGCAGTGGAAATGTGCATCACTGTAGGTACTGTAGTAATTCAAGGTAGAAATCTGTGTCCAGACAGATTCCAGTCTTTGAACATTTCTGTGCTCTGAGGAGTCTTAAAATCAGTTACCGGAGATTCAGAATACTTGGGGGCACTGTGGCTTTGAAAAAGTGATGCGGGGTAATTAGGCCACAGTCCAAATCTTGAAATTCTTCTAAAGCGATAAGGATTGCATAATTGTACCTAACTTTTGTAATATTTTAACACCACCKTTACTTTTGTAATAAAACCACAAAGCAAATCACAGTGATTGCTYAGAACCAACGAACTGACTCTTTCTTTCAAGAACTCAGTCCAAGATAACACATTCATAATTTCAGGTTTAAAAGAGGAGCCCACCACTGTGCTTCCTGCAAGTATATTGTCTGGAAAAGAGTGTAGACAAAAAGCTGACTGGAACAATAAACAAAAATGGGGATGCTGATTAGCAAAGTAAGAGTAGCCATATACTATTGTATCATTCAGATTAGATTGTGTTTAGCATTATATTTWAAAATGGGGATTGCTGGTAGCTGAAGAGTTGAAAAACAGAGAAGCTTCACAATGTTTTTACATAAATGTTTCTGTAAGGCACAGAAACAAAGTGCAYAGAGAAATTTTGACAGATCGAGTTTGGGTTAGGTTTGGTTTTTGTTTTTGTTTTTTTTTTTAATTTGTCATCTCTAAAGGGTATTGTATTGGACTGTTTGTCTTTTCAGACCTTATTTAACCCTAACAAAACTGTGGTGAAGATGTTTGTGGTGATCTATGACTTGAGAGAAATGCCAGCTAATCATCAAACATTCCTACGGCAAAGAACTTTTTCTGTTCCTGTGAGACGAGAAATCAAGAGATCTGTCAATAAAGAAAACAGTCACCAGACTGAAGAAAAGCTACTACGCTACCTCATACATCTGAGGTAAGCTCCTTGAAGTTAAAAAAAAMAMAAAAAAAACCCCAACAAACCCAAGTCAAAACCACAAAAAAGTATCTGCCAAAATTTAACTCATAATTTCTTTCCCAGACAGCCTTTCTGTGTACAGAAGTAAGAAAGAATGAAAAGAAAAATAAAATAAGAAGAATGTTAACTCAGTCTTTAATCTAGACAGTAGAGGAAGAAGAGCTGATAAACAATTTGGATTCTCCTTGGGAGAAACAAAGTTAAAATATAACATAAAGCTCTCTCTTGACATTGAAGTGTTTTGTATAGCATTGYAAAGCTTAAATCTTTCCTTAGCAAGAGAAAGATATTATTCTRGCTGAATCAAGGCACTTTTTTTGAGGTTACAGGAAATAGTGAATGTGGATGTTACWTGGGCAAAAGCCAAAACTAAGGATCAATGAAGAAAAGGTGCCTGGTGTGCTTCAGGTGTGCCTCTTCACCAGAGCAGCTTGTAACATGGCAGATGGYCTGAGTTACAGTGTTTAGTGGCAAAAATGTAAATACCTGTTTCATGATGGAATACTGGTGATAATGCCTTTCACTTTATAAAATATTCACTCAATCTTCCTTAAATGATTTACAAAGCACTGCCTGAAACCAGACACTGTGCTGCTGCTCTTGGGGCATTCTGGAGACTGCAGTTGGAAACAAAAGATGAATGATGGATATACTCTGTCCTCCTGCAGTTTGCAGACTTTTTGCCTGTGTTTTTGTAGTAAGAAATGCCTGTACACACAGACCCAGTGCTTTCACTCCAGCACTTGGAAACCCACCAGCAGCTGACATTGTGAAGTGAGCAAGCAGAATAGAATCAAATACCTTACACTTCTCTATTGTTGTACAACTATTTCTAGTACATATTATTTTTCCTATTTAGTGTCATTGATTTCTATTCAACAGACTTTTGAAACACAACTTTGTCTAGAGCAGTGATTCTAAGCCAGACTTTCCCATTAAATTAAAGTTGACTGTCATAAAAAAAGAGTGTTGGTTTACTRGAGTGTGAAAATAGTGTCATGAACAGTGTTTTCATTCTGAAATTCGGCCTGGGTAGAAATTCATCCAACAGACCACATTAACTTGCAATGTCTAACCTAACCAGATAAAATTTTCATTTTGGGGCAAATTCTGAAAAAGTGTGTAGCCCCAGTCAAAGGTTGTATTTAGATGTAATGATGATTTGACTGTGCAGAAGAGCTGGGGACAGGGCTCAGCTGCAGTGGTGGGTAAMAGTCTGTGGCCAGCTGGGTCTGCCACGCTTCCATGAAGAGTAGTGCTCTTGTGTCCCCTTTCAGTTTTTACTTTAATGTCATTTGTCAATGTCTTGTTGAAAGACCAAGAATTACTTCCATTTGAAGGCAAATCTGCTTTCTGCCCTCTCATCTGTTACAGCTGGAAGTCCCTTAAGAGCTTACTATTTCTGATACCTGTTGAGAGACAGAAATGTTGCAGTTCTGTTGCYTCTCATTTTGAAATATCTGTACAATTTAGCTTAGCTTTCAGACATCTGGTAGGGATCAGTTCATGGGTTTATGATGTGCAATTGGAAATACATCAGTTTCTGATKGGAAAAAACAAAATCATAATTGCGRTGCTTAGGYGCTTACTTTGGAAAGTGAATAACTGCAGAGTWTGGCACGACTTTCTTCTTCAGTGATAAATCCAAGCAGTGGATCCTTTGTCATAACGTAAGAATGGCAGCACTCCTTTAAAGTAGCTTATGTTCATCAGTCTTGTGGTTTATTATACTAAGCACTTATGATTTTACAAAGGACTCAGTTGTCCATCTAATAGCTTTCTTTACTGAAGATGGATTTTAATTAGGAGGGCTTAAAAAAATCTTATTAGTTTGTTCATTCACATGCAAGTTGGTTTTAAACTGCATTTTTTAAAGCAGCTAAGTTTCCTTAAGCCTACCTAAATGAAAAGTTGTACAAACCAAGAAAGTTTTAACTATTCAGATTTATTTTTGTTTGTTACTCAAGCTGACTTAGAACAGCCTTCTGTTTCAGTTGCAGTAGTTAGTGAGCACATCTTAGGCTTCCGTATTGAAATTTTGTTCAAAAAAACAAATGAAGTCACCACCAGTGAGCTGCATTGTGGTCGCATCTGCTTGCGAGGCCTTAATCACAGTTGTCAGCACTCACATTATGAAAGCTCCTTTTCAAGTGGTAATTCAGCAAAAATGCTTGCATAGGTCTGGCGCTTAACATTGRCGGCCAGATTTTCTACAACAGTCTTTAAAGTGTCAGATTTATTGTGTGTGCAGCTTCTGCATGCATTTCTCGATGTTTGAGGTACTGTTCAATATGCCATTAGCCTGCACTTGTACCACAGCTACAGGATTGAGATACCAAATGTAGCTTGCACAGACAGCAGAGCTTTATTCATTATTAAAAACCCCCAAGAGCTGCACCTGCAGTTTAAGTTGTTTTTTGAAGATGCTTTGGGGATAATTTTTTTTTGTTGCATGTGAAGCAATGACTTTGTCTTGTAATTAAAGCTACTTGAGCATAAGAGCTGTGAGCTCAGCTCTGTTTGTGCCTCATTTCTGCCCAGCGTTTTGAGGATGATGACCTCCATGGGTTTCTAGGTCACGTTCTGGCACCCCTGTAAAAAGCAATTAAACAGCTAACCTGCCCACAGCTCAGCATTTTTTCAAGTCTTTAAAGCTTGGTCAACAGCCTTAGTTCCTGACACATTGCCAGGAATTGCATGGAGCATAATTGTTGATGCTTTAGCAGCTAAACAGTGCTGGTTACTGAGGGCTTGGTGAAGGGTAAGCTTGAACCTGGTTGTTAAAAGTAGTGATTCCTCAAGGTGTTGAGAAACTTTCTTTAAAATACTTTCCTAACTTGGCATATATCTTTGTTGGTGGAAGCTRAAGATACCTGCTATTACTGATTTACTAGCTTTTGATCTTTCTGCTTTCTCAGCATTTTTTATCCAGAAATTCTTATCCTTGTCCTAACGATTTTACTTATAGATTTTATAGATTGTGTTGTATAGTCTTTTCCACTTACAAAGCACATCTTGCTAYGTATGTTCTCATGATTATCCTTCTAGATCCTGTTTCTGTGAATTACTCTGTTCTTTGTGAATGTTGATGGCCTATATAATATTTAGAGGGACTTTGTGCTTGTATTTGTCATTTTTYCAGTAAAGTTCATCCACAAGACTTTCTAGCATCTGATATTTGTGTGCTTAAGCATTCTTGTATTTGTCTGTTTTTACTGTTCCTGGGACACCATCTGTCAGAGACCTTGGTTGTTTGGTTTCTTAAATTTCTTTACACAAAATTAGTGGAGCTGCCACAGCTCTGGAGTCAGTCCCATGCTGGTCACTCCATCACCACCCTGCGAGGATGTAGGGAATGCTTATCTCTTGATTATTCCAGTATATTTGCATGTATAAAGAGCAACATTTCTAAACAGCAATTACTAGGGTAGGCAAAAAAAATAGGTAATGGATGCAGAGATGAGAAAATTCCTTGAACTTTGCTGATGTCTCCCACTTATCCTTCAATCTTTTCTAAATGTCACGCTCAGAAAAGTCATGTTGCAGGGAACTGTTATTTACTGAGCAAAGGGAGTCTTGCAGGATTATCACTCATAGAAAAGAGCAAGCTTGAGAAGTTTAAAAATAGACCATGCTAATAATTCCTTTGAAAGATCCATGTGTAAAATGGGAGTTGAGATCTATTTTATGATGCTGCTTTGATATCTAGATCTATAGGAATGAATTTCAATCATACTTTTGCTGCAATAGATCTTTCAGTAAAATTTTTCCTTTTAAACGTGTTATGAGTGACATTCTGAGTTAACTGGCATTTGCTTTGTCCCTTGTCTCTTTCACTGTTCCTTGTGCTYTCTTCCAATCTTCTCTAAGGTAGTGTCTTCTCCCTTTTGCCTATCAGGTAAAGGGCTTTCCCACTGACAGCACCGAGCAAATAAATAGTGATGGATGGGAGCTCTGTGGGAGCCAGTAGGAGCATTCTGCYGGACCCTACTGCATTTAATGTCCTTGACAGCTGTATCTAGGAGAACAGAGTTTTCCTTTGTCTGGCTGTGGGGATGACTACAGGCTATTCTGCATCACTCATCTGAGCAGAACAGTGCCACAGAATCCATTTCTGAAACCTGCCTTCYTCAAACGATGAAGCCTTGATGGAGCTTCTGTGCTTGTCATTCTCCTATCTCTCAGAATTTCAAAYTATGAATAGGTTTATTCTAGAGATACTGCTTTTGTTTCAATGKGGTCAATAAGTAAATGCTTATTAAAAACCTGTTCAAATTATAATTGTGATAGTACAGCATGCATTAGAAATAGAACCTTTAAATGTGAAAAGAAACAAAGCAGAATGAAACTGTTAGGATATTCTTTCTCCTTTCATTTTAACTGACTAATTTTGTTTGTTCAAATGTGGTTTTGCCTTAATGTTTTAAAAGTGTGCATTTTATTTAATAATAATTAAATGTTAATCTTTTGTTTCAGATAACACAGATATTTGTGTCTTTTCAGGTTCCAGAGTTCTAAATCTGGAAAGATCTACCTCCACAGAGATGTAAGGCTCCTATTCTCTCGGAAATCCATGGAAGTTGATAGCGGCGCTGCATATGAACTCAAATCTTACACTGAATCTCCAACAAATCCTAAGTTTTCACCAAGATGCTAGCAAACAATGGCAAACTAAAGTATTCATTTTACTGTTGAGTACTCCTTGCAAGCAAAGATTGGTAGAGACAACAGTATAAAGTTAAGTCTGTAAAGGAATAAAAATGGCGCTCAAGAGAAAGAAGGTTCTGTGCGATCCTGGACCAGTTTTTAAAAGGTTTCTGGAATGAGCTTTGTGTATTCCAAGTAGACTGGAAACATACTTAAATCTAATCTTTTTGTACTGTTTAAAACCACTTCATTGGATGTGTTGCAATAGCAAATTCCCAAGTTAGTTTAGTGTTTACACTTTTTATTTTATTTTTCAGTTATTTAATATTTAATGTTTCATTTAATACTCAAGTGATGTTTGTCTTTAGTGTTCTAATGTAGCATAAATCCTATGTAAAATCATACTATGTATTTTTGGCATTAATATTGAAATCTGAAATATATACAGATGTCTTTAATCTGTGTGCTGTTTTAAGTGATATTCATTTAAGTTATTGAAAATGGGGACAACAGGTGAATTTCCATAACATTTCATACTATGCAAGCATTTAGCTGTTTTTTCTCTTTAATGGTACCCTTTTCCATTTTTTTCTCACATCCAGATTTAATAACACTTGCAACCACAGTGCAGATTGTTTATTTACTTACTCATGCATTCAGATCATTAGTTCAATTCATATTTTGCTCCCTTAATTTCTTTTCTTTCCTTAAGGGCCATTTTGATTTTGCTTTCCGTTATTAGTTTTTCCTCACATAAACTTTGCACCCTCCCCCATTTTATTTCTCAAATTGTGTTAAAGGATGTACTGTGCAAACAAATTAGTATTTATATCTTAAATATACACAAAAGCTATGAAACTTGTACTTTTTGTTTTATTTTTAGATGAGAGGATCTTCATGTAATCCTAAATATTTTTCATAGGTCAATTCCATGTAGGCCACTAGGTGGCCATAGGAAGTTTTACTAGCAATGCTACACTGGGCATAGGACTATTTTCCGATACGTGTGTGTATTCCTAAAACAAAACAGTCAGATGAACAGTTTATGCTAAGTGTTAAACTGTATAACTGAGAGAAATAAAGTTAGAAGCATTTGATTATATTTCATCTATATATTTAATAATGAAAATGAAGCTTTATGACGTTTGATGAAGGTCTGAGTTTCTCAACTGTCTTAAYTTGATTTATGTGTTTTTCTTTACTTTGCTGTAGGTTTTTAGAGTGTCARTAATATGCAAGGTGACCTATAACATGCTTATCTGATGAAGGCTCTGGAGAAAGGATGAATTTTATATTCAGCACTGCCCTTAGATGAGAGAAGTCAGTGTATCATGAAATCTCCAGGAAGTCTGCCAGGGAACGTAAGGGAGACCGGACTTTCCAGATGATACTTATCAGCTATCTTGTACATGCAAATGACTGCTGCTCCAAAAGGGCAAAGCTCAGATCTTGCTGAGTCCTTTCCCCACTTCAGCAGTGTTTTCCAATYTGTTACACGAAGTTTTCAAAGGTTACCTAGCATTCATTTTAGAGAGAATTGGGGAAAACTGTACAAAAAGAGATTGTCTGCAGTTTTTAGTCATTTGTGTGCCCTATAAAACTKAGAAAAGGTGTTTTTTTGGTAGCAGAAAGGTCAAACACAATTGCAGTTTTACTGTGTACGGAACTATGGTCTGGACTAGGATATCAAGAGTGCGTCCTAGTTTCTGTGTAGCTGCTATTGACTCATAAGCAAACAGCATGTATCCTCAAACTACTTATTTGTGTCATGGTGCACAGCTGCTTGCATAGTCAATGAAAAAAAGCATGAGGAAAGGACACATTTTTAATGAAAAGTCACTGTTCCAATTCCATGTAGTAGATTAACCTTTTATTTTACACTGGTATTATGCAATGTTTGTATCTTGATAGCTTTATTTAAAATAGACTTCTTCAAGCCATCTCCCTTCATTAATTTGCTTTGAACAGCAAAGAAGTGTGGATTTTGAATATGTGGTTACTACAAGTCATGTGTAGGAAATAAATTTGTATTCACTTTGACAGTCAAACTACACTTAGTCCCTGTATGGATTTGGAATGAAAGTGACTTTGGGTTATCTGAGCACAACTTTGATTTTACTGAGTCATTCTGCATTTACAGCTTGATCTGAGTAAACACTTTGCACCTGGAGAAATGCTGGATCTCATAACCTATGAACATAAATTCCACATGACTGTCTACTCACAGGTTAAGATTAGATTAATGTTTGAGAGGTATTTGGTTTCTTCTTTTTACTCCTCAATAGGCTCAACCATATAGAAATATTTTTAATAAATGTTTGAGTAGTTTAGAAGGTCCTCCAGTGATGGCTGCTACAACTAATCTCTCCCAGTGATAAAGTRTACTTATTGTGAGAAAGTTATTTATAGCATCCAAACAAATCCTGCTGAAGCTGAGTTAAATTCTATTTAGTCTTTTCACTATAAGCAAAAAAAAACCCCAATTTGGTTCCTGTATCTCCCTTCTCAGTCTTATTTTTTGATAACTAAGACATCYTCAGACTGTACAGTCAGCCTTTATTTTCTGCATCTCTCATCATTCTGGCTCTTTGCTTTCTTCTTTTGTACTGAATCAGTCTTGAACTGTCTGAGGCTGGACACAGCACCCCTGTCAGGGCCTCTCTGTGCYAATCAGACTGGAAGAATTGGTTGATAAATGATATGGATTAAAGTCCTCTTCATACATCCTGTTGTAATATGTGGGTTTTCACTATCAGGAGATGGCAACTTGCATTCATCTTGTTACCCAGTGTAAGAAATGTCCTACCTGCTTGTTCCCAAAGTGGTAGCTCTCCTTATTGAACTTTATTCTCTCACTATCCAAGGTTTCATATGCCAAACACAGCATTGCTGTTTGAAGAATTGATTGCTGTTTGCAACAAACTTGCATCCACCACATTAAAGTTTTATCTAATTAAGTTTCCCTAATTTGCATGGGGAAGTGTCAGAAGCCTYATTAATGCCAGAAGGCATCTGGAACTTCAGCCACCTTCACCCACTTCTCCACATGGTCTGTTTCCTTTTTTTTTTTAAAGGAAATATGCTTGTGTGAAACCCTTGTTCTTAACTGTGAATTCCTGCCTAGTTACCCTGTTCCTTTTGAGTGCTTATTTTAGATAATTTGTCAAGTCATTATTGACAGCTTAATTATAYAGCTTGGATTCTGTCCTCCCCATACTCCAAATTCAGGAAAAGTGACTCCTGGAAAGCCATTCATTTTTTACAGGTTCCTATATGAATCACAGTAATTAACTGCAGATTGTTCCTGTCATTCTCTAATCTCTTAAGAATATTTTTTCATCCAAGTTAAAAAATATTTACCAAAACTAATTAAAGTAACCTGTAAACCAATCTTCCCTTATTCCAGCTAGAGGCTATACTTCGTTGTTACATTATTTACCTTGATCATGCTAGATTGAACTAAAAGAAACATTAAACTCTCTTTTGTCCTTACCAGGTTTGTTCATTAATATTTTGATGCCCCCTTGTCTTCATGATCTGCTTTAAATACATGTCCTTAAAAACTGACCCAGTTTCTGTAGGCTGCTTTCTTGTATTTGAGGCCATTGAAGAACCTGGGCTTTTCCTGAGATTCTGAATTTATTTCCCATCTTTCCTCTGCATTGTGTTCCCTTAATGAAATAATTGCATTAAGGAACTGCTGAATCCTTGACTCTATGTTTTCCCTCACATTAATTTCCTAAAACATTTGAAAGAAATTAATGAGGTGTTGCATTCTTGTCTGTTGTCACTGCTTTGTTGTTCTGCTCTCTTTTAAAATCTGTGCACTTCATCCTTTTTTTTGATCATTTTTCTATGTTACTGTTTTTCACACTTTCAGACCAATMTCCCTGGTTTTGCTAGAAGCAAATGTGGCATACCCACCACTGTCATGCTTTTTCCATCATTAGCTAAAAACCCACCCATGCTTTCTATGATGTTTTTCCTATGCAATCTGCCCATCTGTRTCCCTTTCTGAATAAGGGATATGCACATTCCTTGGGTTCCCTGCAGCTACACAATCCTCAGGACAAAACTCAGGTGCACAAAGAAGCTCTTCCAGCTACTGGTTTGTGGGGTGTTTTGTAGAATTCAGCTGTGGCAAAATCATTGACAGCTTCTGTTCTCCCCTTTCTGATCTCTTACATTCTTCTCAACCATTATGGCACAAAGGCTGTCCTGGCCAGGCCCTCCTGAGCTATGCTAAGTAGAATCCTTACCTTGCTGTTCACATAATCCATGTATTTAGGGATCTCTAAAGATTTAGAGACCCTGAAGATTTATAAATGGTGGACTATTTAAACCCCTCCTTCATGCTCCTAAAGAGAGTCCATGGAAGGACCAGATAGTGAAAAGTAGATGAGGGAATAAAATACTCTCTATAACTTGATACTGTGCTGTGATGAAGTTCCAATGGACTGAGGACTCAGCTGCTTGTATTTTGATCACTAAGAGTGGCCAAAAAAACTAAACTAGCCAAGCAATAAAGGTGGGGTTTTTTTCCCCCTTTACCCTGATGCTGGGCAGGGGAGGCCAGGCAGGCCGGACGAGCTGGGATTAGCAAATTGTAGTGAGGTGGRGGCCAGTAATGGGACCAGAGGAAACGGCCTTAACCTGAGACACGGGAGATTCACATTAGATATCTGAAGAATTTTCACTGTTGGGGTTGTCAGGCATTAGAACGGCTGCTCAGGGAGGCGGTGGAGTCACCATCCCTGGAGGTGTTCAAGCGACGGGTGATATGGTTTAGCGGTTACAGCGCTGCCTGTACGGCTGGACTGGAGCACACTGAAGCTCTCTTGCAACGCCGATGTTTCAGTATTTCTGTGATTTCTGTGATTTTGTGCGGGCCGGGCCCGTTCACCCCCAGTCCCGCCTCCGCCGTACCCGAACCCCGAGCGCGCGGCTCCGGACGTGACGCGCRGGGCGCGCGCGGACCCCGCCCCCGCTGCCCAGCCCGCGCGCGCGGGGGCCGAGGCGGAGGAAGTCTGGCCCCGCCAACGCTCCGTCGCGCGCGCCGCCGCCATCTTGTGCGGGAGGAGGCGGCAGCAGCAGCAGCAGCAGCGCGGAGGAGCCGCGGCCGCGCCTCCCGCCCGCCTCCTTCCCGGTCCCGCCGTCCCGCCGCCGCGGCGCCATGTCTGCCGAGAGCCCCGAGCCCGCCTCGGCCGAGGAGCAGAAGGTGGGTGGCCGGCCCGAGGAGCGCAAGGAGGCCCGCGGGGCTTCTCCCTCCTCCATCGGCGCGGCCGGGCCTGTCCTTCCCTGCCTCGGCMGAGGGAGCCTGGCGGGCCGCAGCGTCTCCCGGGCCCGGCCGCCCCTCAGAGCACCGCCTGCCCCGGGCTGGGCTGGCCGCCGCCGCGCAGCAGGGCCGGGCGCCGCTCCCCGGGCAGGACGGGCCCCGCCGCTCGCGGCCGTGTGCGTTGGAG